TTGTTATTATTATAATTTTGTTGTTTTAGTACTAAATAAGTAATGTTTTTGTTGAAATTGTTTTAAAGTGATTGTGTTGGCTTAATTGAAGTAAATGTATTTCTGCATGTAAAATCTAATGAAAGGCAAGTTCTGAACTAGTCTCAATTTGACGTTTTTACTAGGCCACGCGTGCCACGTATGGACACGTCAGTAATACGTGGATTTTGACTCGTAGGGTGCGATTTTTCTTTACTGTACGTATGAATGTACTCGTATTGTGTATTCTTTGTTTTATAGTGTTTTATATGAAATTAAAACTTCGTACATTTATCTTTGTGTTCGTTGATATATATTTGTATAGGTATGTCGTTCTATTTGTCTTTGTTAACTTAATATTTTTATGTCGAACATTGTAGGTCCGTGTTGTCGCCGCTGACTTCAGCAGAATACCAGTGCAACGGGTGTACCCATTGCTTACGCTGAGCTGAGGTCAGTTTTGACAGCACACAACATTACACTTTAAGTTCTTGTATGTACTAAATGTTAATTGTCCTGTTTGTTTTATACTGGGTTGTGTTGTGTGTTGGCAAAATAAATACTTTATTATTATTTAAATATATTTATAATTTACTCTTCCCGACCCCTCGACGATTCGAGGGGGGGGAGGATTCCCCCCGGCAGAGGAGGCCAGACGGCCGGGGGTCAGGGCGACAAAGAGAGAAAACGGCGGACGATCCTTGCGTTATCGAGCAAGATCGCCCGCTGGAGCCTCGCAATCATTGGTCCGTCACGGAGTCCCAACCTCTTCAGATGGTCGTGAAGAGAAGTCGGGACTAGGCCATTCGTTGACACTACGACTGGGATGATCTCAGTGGATGACACTCGCCACATATCGGTAACCTCGTGCGCCAGGTTCAGATATTTAAGTTTTTTATCTGATTCGGCTTTCACGAGGTTTTCATCGAATGGGACGGTGACATCCACTAAGAACACCCGAGATTCCGCCCGGTCCATCAGTACGATATCAGGCTTGTTCGCAGGAACAGTCCTGTCCGCAATGACGGACCGGTCCCAGTATAATCGAGCGCGGTCATTTTCAAGAACTGGCTCCGGCACATACTTATAGTAAGGCACCTTTTCGCCTATGAGGCCGTATTTGAAGGCTTATTATTATTATTATTATTATTATTATTATATATACGGTTGCCATCAGGTTACAAATAAATTTCAAGTCTGCCTTTAGTGTACATATTAAGTTTTATAATCACGTGAAAAATTGAATAAGAAAATGAAATTATTTTCTCATAAATTGTACATACAAAATACAAATAGTATATAAATATATACTGCAAAAATAGTTAAGTGTGACACAAACATGCTTTAACTTAAAAACGCCACTTTTGTCAGCATTAAAAAAAATATTTATTGTTATAATCGAATAAAATATTAATAAATCAATCTAAATCTGATTGAAACGTGTAAACTTGTGGAGAAAGCTATGTGTAGAATGTAGGTGGTGGTTCTATAGATTCTTATTTTGAGTAAATTGGAAACTGCCCATAAACAAATATCATACCTTTTATCAGTGGTAAATATTTTTCTTATTCACAATTATTTAAAATTATGAATTATTTAGGCGCTCTAACACTGGATACAATACAAAAGCTCTAAAAATCTGTGATAGTTACCACTGTGATTCTGCACTTTTATTATCTTTGCTAATATTTGCGTAATTATATATGGCGTATTATGTTATTTTGATTATAAACTTTGTTTGCAAACAAGTGAAGAAATAAAAACAAGCTTATATCTGGTCTGTTGTACTTTACAAGTTAATTTACGAGTAATGTATACATTGATCCAGCAATTTATATAATAGATCCTGTCCAGAACTACGCGCACTATATAAGCTAGATTGTTCAGAAATGTTTAGGCCATCCATTTTTTTACGGTGGCCATTTTTGACTTATAATAATACTGGTTATCACATATTATCATAGTCATCAGAACTGAATGAATATTTTAAATTTCAGCTGAAACAGACACTGTGAAGTGTGTAATATTTATCTTGTAAGATTTTATTACAAAAAGACAAACATCGGGACAGGTGAATTAAAATTAAATAAAAAATGATAATATAATACCCTAATATAATAAAATAACCAGGTGTAAACTCATTCAAAGAGAATAATATTAAGTATATAAATGATTTGTTAAATTCATTGGGACTGATTAATCTCTTTTATCGATATTTTTACTCCTGTTGCAACCCCAAAGTATCCGGTGATTTTTAAGCAGCCAATAAACATATCCGCGACGGCCCTCTATTCTCCTAGCAATAAATGCTCACGTCCTTTCCCTCGGTGTCAAAGGTGCCAACTACGAATGTATACCGCCGTAAGATGGCATTATTTTAGGTACCCAAATATCTTACATTTTATGCTTTTTTCAATGCGCAAAATTATTTTGTGGTCAATCCCCAGTTCTTTAGCTACGTCGTAACTTCCGATATACCGATCTTGCTCCACGTTTTCAAAAATGGCATCGATGTTTTCCGTAACAGGGCGGCCGGAGTGACGTGCATCTTTGACACCAAAATTTCCGGACTTAGCTTAGACCAAATTTGTCACAAAAACTACACTAGGTACATAAACGCCATTATATAGACAGAAATATTTTATGCATATATGCGTAGAGTTCTTCCCCGACCTAATAATAACTTTTAAATAAAAAGCATCAGCGTGTAACTGTCATTTTTGTTAAACTTGAATAATAATGTCTTGTACAGCTGCCCCTGCAGCTCGATGGCGCGTTTTCACAATGGCCGATCATCGGCTTGGGTGACTAAAAATTTATTACCTTGAGCTTCCCCGTGCTTCAAAGGCTCGTTAAGCCGTTGGTCCCCGCTGCATTTCCGGCCTCTAATACTCACCAATACGTACTGTGCCCGCATGGTGGGTCATGGCCCTGTCTCCTGATTCGATTTGATTTGATTCCATTCACAAGGAAGGCCTGAGCTCCAGCAGTGGGAATAATAAATAGGTCAGTAATGAAGACGGCCGCCTCTGCTCAAAACAGTCAACTATGGGGCGTGATACTTTAGATTTAATTAAAAAACATAGGTATAGACACCTCTCTGCCTCCAAAAGGCCAACCCTTCATCAAGATAGGATAGTTGGAGTAATTCCGACTACACACTCTCCAAGCGCAAAACAGACGGTCATAATATAAAGATGGTTCACACGCTAAATAATGTCATAACAAAAGTCTATCTAATATTTTAAACAGGAAATATTTGACTATTTGTTTGTTTGTAATGGATAAAATCAAATTTCATCTACAATTTAAAAGCTACAATAATTCAGCAAATAACATAGATTTTATTTAATTATAATATAGGTGGAAATTTACAAGTTATGCAACTTTTATATATAAGAAAAACAAGTAATATTAGTCGTTTTCCTAAAATTTTGGTTTTATCTAGGAAATCAGGCACGAAGTAGCGGCGCGTGCGCGTGTCGCTCTATGTCTAGGCAAGATAAGCGGCTAGTTACATCAGATTTCCCGACGCGTGCGATCGCAGTATAAAAGGTCGGCGGCGCACGAACCGGTACTCATTCATAAATCGCAACCAATACATGCCAACACATTAGTTCGTGGCAATGATCTACGCTCTCATGAATTACCTTGAAATAGTTAATACTCAACTAGAAAACAAACAGTGGTGGTATAGTGACAACTGGTGTGACAGTCATTCTCCGCGGTTCGAACATCAGCAGAGATAACCCAGTGATTCCTTGCAGTTGCATCGATTATAAGGTAGGTAAATGTGGTTTGTTTATATTAAGCACCCGGTCACAGTGTAAATATAAGTATACAGTGGTGAAACTGCCTACAAGTGTTCGAAATCGCACGCACACATAAACACGCTCACCGACGAGCCGCCTAAGTGGACCTAACAGGACGCTCAGTAACGCGTAGCGCGTCGAGATGAGGGGTTACGTTATACGTTCCGCGATCGTTTTTATTTAAAAAATGAAGGAAAGATTAAGGAAAGGAGTAGGCTTATATGAAATAAAAAATAAGATTTTTGTATGATCTGGAAATATATTTTAGTCTGGAAATATATTTTAACCGCCCAGTTTTCGCATATGTTATTTCTATATCATGTGGTGATAATAGAATAATATAAGTAGATATCACCGTCTGAACAAATGTGTATGTATATTGTTTGTTTGTTAATTAGTTATTACAATTCGATTGATTGATAATGTCAGAACTCCTTTTATATTTTGTAAAAGAAACATTCAAAACGACAACCCTATGGTTTCAATGGAGCGTAGGTATTTATTTTATCGAATAGGCTTAGTTTCTATACTGTGTCATTCTTATACTGTGACCCCGTGTTATGATATTATTAAACTGTCGACTTTTCACCATTTGCCTGACCTTTCCGGTCTATCAACAATATTTTCATGTTTTAAGTAAACATTTATCTATGATGAAACGATTATACCTTTCAAAAACAATTTCTTAGTTTTTAACTAATTATATTTAGATTTTTTTGTATCATTAGTTATATTGTAAACATATTCTAATCAATTAAATACTAGACATATTTTAATATTAATTCTTAAATATACAATTCCCGAATTAAAAAACAATTACAACTATAATTTTGACTATCCCTCAACATAAAATAAAATCTTTTAAAAACTTAAGAGGGCCCCCCCTCTTAAGTTTTTAAAAGATGCGAAATCACAAAGGGGCGAAATCACTCGTTCTTTTACGTCATCAGACTTAGATACACACTCTAAACAGCGTTGTTTTTCACTCGTACTTAGATAAAAACCTTTAATAATATAGTTTGTTGAAAACTAGGGGTCAAATCTTGATAACAAGAACTGCACGAACTACACTATACTTATACGAGCAACATACAATTGACCGTTACGAGTAGCTATGAACATTTTAACATTAATCTGTGCTTTTATAAAATCGCAAGCCCTAGGTGGTGGTGGAAACTAGACTCGGGAAGTAAACTGATACTATTTCAAAGTGTCGTATTAACTATTCACGCTTCATAGCCCTTTTAAAGGTTGACTCTTAAACGTAACAAAACAAAATATGTTTACTGTGCTCTACATCACAGTTCTTCATTTCAAATGAAAAAAATAATATTATAACGAAGCACCACAGAATAATTGAAAATGATTTCAAACTCTTAACAGTTTATTTTATTATTTACAAAATTAAATTCTTTTGTAAGTTGCAACCCTAACTTGTAAAACGAAATTTGCAACCACTTATAAGGTTTTGTAATTCCTTTGCAGACTCAAGCCTTTCGTTGATCAGACGCGTCCAGTGCGTGCAAACTTCAACATTCGCATAAAAGAGTTGAGGAAAAAAGTTTTTACTCATAACGAGAAAAAACACAATGGCTACCGTCCAAGGCCCGATAAACCTGCCTACTCTAGCTAAAAAAGAAAGTCAGGAGTTAGACTTAGTTGCTTTAACAATGGCAGCACTACGACTAGTCAACCCTTGGACTGTGGAGAAGAGAGATGAGAAGAAACCCGAGAAATGGCCACAGGATATTGAACCTGGTTCACCCGAAGCTAAAGAGCGAGTCATCACCCTGGAGGAGGTGTCATACCATGACACCGCCAAAGACTGCTGGGTGGTTATATACGACCGTGTTTACGATATCACTACCTTCCTTGAAGAAGTAAGTTCATAATTACCTATTTATTTTGAAGGATTTTAATGAAAATGAAAGCGGCTATTTGCTAATGCCAAATATTTAGTTGTTGCTAAGCAAAACTGTTATATAATGTAGATGATATAATTGATTACGACTAATAACTAAGTCCAAAATAAAATACATGCATTATAGGAGGTATTAATATACATCTTTATTTATTTATTCTGTGCAATATGCACAATAAAAAAATGTACAAACATTCTTTACCAGTCAATTGGAGAGTTATGGACAGAAAATTAATAAGAGCGGTGAAACAAACAAAAAATCCCATTGATGTTACAAAATAAAAAAAAAAACATATATAAGTCCTAACGATTTTTTATTTTATTTTAGCACCCAGGTGGAGCTGATGTGATGCTGGAGTACGCAGGTCAGGATGCGAGTACAGCGTTCCGAAGCTCTGGTCATAGCCGTAACACTACCAGAACCCTAGACCGGTTCCTGGTGGGAGAACTGCCTATGCATGAACGCATGTACCGTCGCCCTGGCGGCATGCGCCTCTCTGACATTCCGGATTAAAACATTAAGGAGTTTTAAAAGACGCTTCACACGGTCGATTAGGACGCAGATGAGGATGTTCGTCTTCAATTTATCACCTGCAAAAACAGCAATTGGTTTGCACTCTATCATTTGCCCGTCTGCAATTTCACCAACTGTGGAAATCCAGCTAAAATAGACTCATCACTAAGAAAAATAGAATTATGGATACTTAAATAAATTTGAATAAGGCGCCTTCTTAATAAATTGAATGAGGACAAGAATTTAATTATTGTTTTATATCTCTAATTAGTTATTTTACTTGTTAATAATAGCACCTACATAAGAATCAATTTTTAAATATTAATGTGTGTCAATGTTCACCTTATTTATTCTCAATAATGTAAGAGTTTCAATAGTGTTATTTCATGAATTACCCATAAGTGTAGTATTCAAATTGTGAGTAATTAATAGTTTTATTCAGCTGAAGTGAATTTCTGAGTATTGTTTGATTTAAACTAAATAATTAAGTAGTTCGCATTTAGTATTGTAAAAACTAATATAACATAACTCAGTATTATTATTACATATTTTTGTGTATTTAAACACTATTCTTGACTACTTCGAAAAATAATGTTTTAAAGTTATAACAATTTACTATATTAGATTTAATCAAAAGTTCCTATTGTTTTTGTTTAAATAAATTTTGTAAGCAATGATTTGCGAATTTTATCATTTGAAACCTTTTAGACAATGTTATCAAATCAACCTAACCTTTTGTCAAAGTTATCTATTACACGAGTATCTAACGGTCCAAATACGTATACCTATTTCGTATGATAATCACGGATCCGGCATAGGAGCATCAATTAAAATATTTACAATTAAAATGACTATTATATATAAAAAAGAAATGTTATACAGAAGCAAACCGCTGGATTAGAACATGACATGTAACTGCCTAGTAAATTCAAATTAATATTGCTCACGTTAAATCTGTTTGCGCAGAGCATGACCGAACGTGTGATTAAAAGAACTTTTTTTGTGTGGAGGTACTTTAATCAAACTATCTCTAACCAAGCATAAAGTATATATTAATCGATAGAGGGTAATATTATCTTATACATGATAATTTTATTTTATTTTTAGACGCCACCAATAGTTTATTTTCTGATTTGAAAATCATTTGATTACGAAAATCTTTGGAAACCCGATCCCTAAGTTACGTTCCCATACATGGTATGAAATAATCTATTTTGAATAATTCGTTTTATTTGCTACTAATTATTGATATTTCAGACCTCCAATGTCAAATACTATAATATTTTAAACATTGAAGTGTGTATGTAGCAAGTCTTACGGAAAATTCCCTTATGTTTGTGATAAAAATCTACAGCGTTTGCAAATTTAGACAAACAAAGTAAAACACATCTACTGGTTTAATTTCTGATTGCTTGTTGAGGTTTGATATGGGCTCGAGCGTAGCAAGAAGCACATTGTTTTATTCGGGATTTTTTGGCGGCAACCGATATATTACCGTTTTAGTGTAAAAAGTAAGCGTTCACTGAACGCTCGTCGAAGCAGATTAAGCCCGTTCGGCGCGTGGCTTATTATAATAAATACATAGTTATCAAATTAATAATCCGATTCTCACAAAATTTATACACGCTAAGGGCTAATAATGTGCTTTGGTATAATACTGAAAAAAGGCAAATGGCGAAAACGACGAATTATCATCAAATCAGGCATTTTTTTATCAACTGTTGATGAAGTTGACAGACTTTAACTACGAGATAAAAAACCTTTAATTAGTTAGAACAACCATATTGCTTGGTTAATTTCACTATCGGAATTTCCCCGCTTTCGTGATTAACCCAAAGTAACCTACCGAAGGCTAATCTTTTTTAACTTAATTCTCTGAAACAGGGGACATTTTAGATCTGTAACTTTGACAAAAGATGGAAGATTGGGTCTAGGTGCTATGATAATTTTCTTTATAATGGTTAATTTTTTTTTGGTATAAAGTACCAAAAAAACATTCTCCTTTATTATTATATATTTTACATCTTATAATTAATTTTGTTTTCATTGTAAGATATAAAATACAATGCCCGTTTATCGCACCCACACAGTAAGGGGTCAGGCGCGTGGATATTGGTGGATCGCACGACGACGTGATACTCGAATCAGAACGATCAATCGACATTTACCGCGCTTCTAAATTTATCTTTTTGCGTAGGCACATCAGTGAGTCACGTCACAATGAATTTTTGATCACCCATCCTTTAACCAGCCATTGCAAAAGTTGCTTAAGCACTGTATTGCAGACCGAGCGCGCTAACCACAAAGCCATCGAGCTCCTCAGTTATAGGTATCTTACTATACTTATATAATCGATTTTTTAAGCCCCTAATAGTCGTTTGTAGTATTCTCTATTAACAAAAAGCTTCAATCTTAAAACAAACACCTCAGCGAATTCTCTTTTATATATCCCTCCCGTTTCTACCGATTATAGACAAAATGCATATCTTTGGCGAGCTCTTAACAATTTCAATGACCTATCAAGGCAGGCTAACTTAGATCTCTACGACACTAGTGAGGTTTCGGCAAGGCGTATTTTAAGCAGTATGTTCTTCAACTATTAGTGAGTACCATGTAATACCTATATATCATTACCTACCGATTTTGTTATAGCTGGGTACTAGGTGTTGCCGACGACGATGATAGTGCAACCTTTTTTTATAGTTTTTGTATACTTTTTATATTTTTAATATTTTCTATTGTATTTTGTTTTTATGATTGTCATTATAGAAAAATATCGAAACCCACAGAATTTTATTTTGCAATTATTATCACTAGGTGTATGTGCGTGCGTGATTAATTTAATGGCTATTGTAATACATATTAAGAGTAGTATGTTACTAACGGTGGGGACTTTTAATTGGCTTTTTGTCTTTATTATAGTTTTATAAGATTTTTCATTGTATAGCTGTAAGTCCTCCAAAAAATTTAATAAATAATAAATAAACATGGAACAAAAATTATCCCTAGTATGATACGCGAGGCAATTGAAATTAAAAAATATCCGAACTTTAATAGAGATAAAGATTGGCATATAGCACCGGCTTGGGATCCCAATAATGAGTAAAATATAATCTCAATCCAGACTACACATTACAAAACCAAAAGATACGATTAGTTCATTCTGTAAATATTAAATCAAAAGGAGCAATTCACTTTTCTTGTCGGAGTTGGTTTCGCACGTTCTTCTCAATAAGTCAAATGTATTTTTTTTTAATAATTTAATTTAATAAATGTATAAGTTTCCATGAAATAAAAAAAAAATATTGTGAAAATGTCCAAATAGTATATTTGAAGGTAGCTATACCCTTAATTAAAAAGACAATCAACACCAACAAAAAAGTCAAACGACAATAAAACGAAATACAAAAGCGATGGAATCGTTTAAATTTTTTTTTTTTGTGTGCGTGTAAAAGTAATTTTTCAGTGATATGGAATGCAATTTGAAGTTTGCAAACTTACATTAATAAATAATTTTTATCAAAAATTTTTTCGTTAAAACATCGACGCCAAGAAATACTACACAATTCTGAATGAACAGCATATTACTATCCAAAGTTTAAAAAAAAGGAAACATATTTTTCAACACTGATATGTAATGAAAGCAACGATGAAAACTAAGATACGTCACGATGTTTGTGTTGAGACATCACTATACCAGTACCTACGTGCCTGCACGAATTTAGTGATAAATCTTAGAGATAAATATACATAAGTCCAGTTGTTGCAATATAGTGCACAATAAAATATAATACTAGAATTAAAATTTAAAAATAAAACTAGTACATTTCTATAAAACTTTTAATATAAAAGTAATCATTAAATACGAAGCAATAAATATGTCACTGGTCAAACCTTTTTTCCAGTCCTGAAACAAACATAGTTAAATGAACAAAACAGTTTTGTTTGAGATTTAATAAGGAATGGAGTTGACTGTTTCGAAGAAAATATTTTTAAAACTTTCACATTATGAAATCACTGTTAGATTAGTATTTCACCAAAAAGTGTTATTAAATAAAGGAGACATATTCATTCATTAATTTTAAATTGCCTAGCGAAAACAATCCACGACATTTCGAGCAATGACGTCACATTTCAATAAACACGAGTAAGGAACATGTAATTTATTGAATGTTCTCTACTTTTAAAAATTATGTGACATTACACGATGCTCCGTCATGGCCACCCGCTTTCATCGCAAATTTGCAAAAATAAATTATAATTACTTATTTTAAAACCTAAATATAAGTTACCATTTCCAACACATTTCATAATTTATTATTATAACTGTCAAGAATAGAAACTACCTATAATGACGATGTACAGTAAAGTACAGTAAACTCATCGGAATGAATGTGACATCGCCTAAAATATGTATTAAATATTATCGTATTTTTAATAAATAAATAAAATAAAGCCAATTGAGATAGCGAATTAAAGATGTTTAAGAAAAAAAAGTAGAAATTATTTGTTTGCTTGTTTACATTGAATATGCTCCGAAACTACTGGACATATTTTAAAAATTATATTTACTATCGTAGTACAATTAATTTGCTAATGACATGTACTAAGTATGTCCAAAGATACTTACAGATGTTTATAATTGAAGAGTGTATAATTGGCACACGAGAACCGCAAGTAGACAACCAGTGCGAACGTCATCAATATGGCCGTCACTTGCATCGTGAGCTCGCGTGGCAAACCACACTTCGATACACGAACCTCTTCACTGGTAATTGTCAACTGTCGAATAAACGTATTAGATACTTCAGAATGTAACTTTTATCTGAGTATCCTAGTCATATAAAAGTGAAATCAGAAATCGTTATTTTAATATAGAGCCACTTTATTCTGTGTAGTACAATATGTCTACAAGACAACAGGGACAGAGGTTTATTGCTGGTCAAAGGCCTCCCCTTATGTAACGCCTGCCTACGCCCTGTTTCTCAACACGTCATGATCGCCACTAGAATTTTACTGCCCTTTGGGGTAAATGCCGTTTTCGTTACGCTAAGCAATTGTAGTATGTGATTAAAGATCGAACGAAGAGACGCTGCTGCCTGTCATTTGTAAATATGTCTATCATTTGCCTTTTACGACACCCTCGGGAAGCGACGGGTGGTATTTAGTGGCACCAAACATCTGGGTAATTAAAAAATGAAAAATACGGTTTAAGTTAAAGTGTAAGGTGACGGACCTATAATTACTTTATAAAAAAATGTGTTAAAAGTGGCATTTTATTTATTAGTTTCAATATGATGTAACACTTGCCAAGTAATATTTAGGGTCCAGTCTATTTCGCCAGGAGAACGATGGCACAGTGTACTCTGTGAACTCTATTTTATGATACGGTGTGGGTACAAAACTATGGCGAACCACACAACTGTGGTGAGTGTGCCCGCCGAAGACTGCGCGTGGACTCAAACTCTCCACCAAATACTCGGTGGACTCCTTAGAGAGGCAATCCCATCGTTCCTCGAAGAGATTGTCTCGTTCTGGCAATGGCGCCGCATCCGGTTCAGTGCATATGCTGTCCGACTCTCTATAAAGAGGATAATGCTAAAATCGAACAACAGGATTAAAATTTTCGTCTACTGATATTAAACTGGGTGAATTTCTCATTTATGCTTAGAATCAAAGAAACAAAAAACTCTGATCACACCTCACTTGAAAATCATAGACACAAAGTCGCTCAAAATATAAAAAAGAAAAATTGAATCGAATTGAGACTCTTTTCATAATGTGGTGTAATACCTCATTGGAGGCCGAATTATAGAATATAGACCGATATTTATATATGCAGTGAATTTAAAAAAAACAATTGGTAAAAATATAAACCTCGTTTAAAAAAGGGTACAACGATCTTTTGACGTCATACGAGTAAGATAGCGAATCGTAACCATTGCACGGAAGGGACAAGGCCAAAAAGCGTTGTCACTCCTACCTCATAATATTTTATCTACTTTAAAAGCAATTAGAAATATGTGCTACAGTTGATTTAAATAATTCTTTCGCTTCTTTATTATTTTGTTATATAAGCTTTCCGGCCGCGGCTTTGCTTACGTGGAAATCCTTTCAGCCTTTTCTTCGCGACAATAACCATCTCATAAAATAAGTATTGGGTAATTGAGTGAACACTCTTCAACTTCATATTATATCTCCACCCATACGCTATTGATTCGTTTCGTCATTATTCTGTATGTTTCTGTTATCACTACTTAAAATAGCAACTTATATCTTTGTGTTATTTTTTTATTGAGATAATACCAATACAGGGGCAATTGTCTAGTATGTGTTAATTTTTCGTATGTATAAATATAACCTGAAATATTAATAAATATATTTTTTTCAGTTGTACCTGCATTATAATTGGTCTGCTATATTTCTCTAGTCTCGTTTTCCCTTTACATAGAGCTGACCCCATGCTGCACTTTAGAATGTCTAAAATGTAAAATGCTAAATTATTATTCACGATAGAAAAAGAAATCTCAACGTTACCTCAAAACTTCACCATTTCCCCACCCGTTGCCGAGTGGTTCGTACACCGTGTTCGTTTCCCAGTCGGGTCAACATTAAAAATTAACTTTTTTATATTGTTTAAGGTCTATCGGGTTTCTTAATATCTTAACGCGTTCAATTCCAATGTGCGAATGTTAACGTCAAACAAAAACTCATACTACACACCCTGAAGGACACAGTTTCATTATTCCAGTGGTACAACTGCCTGACTCTCTAGCAATAGGATTCGATATTATAGCGATATTTTGTTTCTTTTTACTCTTTTGACATATATTTTGGTGGATAAATGACTAAGTTAGTAACACTACTGTCAAATTCAATGTAATCAATCTTTATTGTTTGTTCATCCTCATTAAAGTATGTGTGAAAGTAGTAAAATGTGACGCAATTTGGGATGGCTAGAGAGTTAGCTGGTCGCACTCCTGGCAGATTTTAGAATCACCTGATATTTTATCAATTTCTGTAACAGCACGAGAGCAAAGAGAGCAACCGTCACCCTCCATAGCCATTGAATTGATGAGTACAAAATGATTTCCTTTTAAAGTAACCATCCTCACTGGTGGAGCATCAAACTTGCTTTCGAACCTCTTTGCTAAATGTGGAGTTATCCTAAAGGAAAAGTGCTCAGTGGAAATTATATAGAGAAACATAAGGAATTTAAAGATTTTAAAAACAGTTTAATAATATAATATAAAAATCATTTAATTAATGATTTTTATAATAAGCTGATTTAATTAATTACATTTTTCATAATCTAAGGTTTTTCATTACTTTACTAATTGAGTTTGTGATAAACAACCAGTACTAAATAACATCTAAAAATATAAATTATTTATTATAATATAAGGAGGCTTTAGTAAATGATAAGAAAGATTAATTACCTACGTAAGCTATCACTTTTCAGAGGGCCAGCAATCCGTTTTTCTCTTTCCAGCTTCTTGCTTTTAAATTAATAATGGGAGTAAGCTTTTTTAATTAATTAAATTAAAAGAGGAAAAGGGTGACAGGTTAAGCAAATGATCAATTGGAAATTTGTCAAAGTTTAAATACCTATAGTGGAATCCAATGTCATGATTACCCACAACAGCATACATGGTAGTTCCATCTGGTACTTTGAATAACTTATGAAATCTCTCCACATAATCATTAAACTCTTTTTCAGGGCACCATTTGCCTTCATCAAATAAGTCACCTGTAAACATATCCTTACATTTTAATAATATCAAACATAAAACATAGTAATAGATGACCCATAAAATTAGATAAATTTGAATTTTATTATTATCAACATGTCTATTACGATGTATTTGAATTGTAACAATCTGGAAAAATGTTATTTACATTGAGATGAGAACTAGCAGACCTAAAACAAACACAGCATCAGGTTTATGCAATGTCATAGCTGTTTGGAAGGCACGATGCATTTGCCATTCCCGTCTCCATTTATCAAACCAATGGCCATCACGAGAGCCCAGTAGATGTGTGTCAGCAATCACCATAACATACAGAGGCTCGGTATTGTCTACAGGATTCTTATTAAGAGCAGGCCAACCACACTAAAATTATTTATTTGCAGTTTATATGGTAATTTCAAATTATTCTCAGATCTAGTTAGATGATTACTATATTGAAATTTAATTATAAATTAATATAAAGTGAATTATTGAAATACCTGTATTTGAGTTACATAATAAATGACGTATTCACAATAAAAATATACACATGCCAGGCCTACAACGGATCTGGGTAAAATAGTGAAAAATAATTTATGTCGCCATCTTCGAAACTTTAGCATCATTTTAGTAATATGTATGTAATTTTTATCAAGAAAATCTGAAGAAATTTATGTACCCATTTAAAGGTATGATAATATTTATTTAAATCATGTTGTCACTACAACCACAAGTTTACCGGTAGCAAAATAATAAAATTTTAATACTCAAAGAGTAGAATTTTTAAAGAACACCAAAATAAAATCTAATGAAATAAATAAGCTTGTTTATAGTAACTAGGTATAATTAAATAAAATCCTATTAATATTATAAAGGCGAAAGTTTGTAAGTATGGATGTATGGATGTTTGTTACTCTTTCACGAAAAAACTACTGGACGGATTTGGATAAAACTTTACAGCAATATAGGTTATACATCAGAATAACACATAGGGTACTTTTTACTGGGAAAACTTCTCACTCCCACGGGATACCGACTTCCACGCGGACGAAGTCGCGGGCGTCCACTAGTTCAAAATAATTTTCAAAACTATCCCGAATCTTCTTCTTCTTTTTTAATTCATGGCCTATTTGCGTTTACACAATTCCGCCAATGTCACGTTTGTGGTCTTTACACGTAAAGAAGCAATAATAAAATACTATCCCGTAGGAGTGAGACGTATTTACTGGAATAAGTCTTTGGAATAAGTTATGGCTTGAATTTCTAAATACTAAGTATCGAATAAGAAATCAACGCATATCGAGTATTTAGAAGTATTTACTCACACAAATCCCGAGATGCGAAGACGCTGACGCAGACTCAAGACGTCCAACACGTTTCGAGTATTTAGAAGTCTTGTACTCATAGAAACTCGGACTCTCCGAGACGCGAAGACGCGGACGCATTCGATTTTAGTGTGAGTGAATTAATTCCTATTCCTAGGGTCAACCTTAACGTTATGTAATAAAATTGCTTTTTGTTCACACAGTAATTAGGTAAACGTCCGACGCCATCACGTGTTAAATGTAAATAAAGTCTTTAATCTTGCTTCTAGCTCGGATCTTTGTCGTGTATTTAATCAAATACACGACAAAGATCCTACCTAAATTATCGTTTCGGCATTTCGTATTGTTTACCATTGTAAAAACTAGTACTTAATAGATGCTTACACGTAATAATAAAAATAATATTATATAATAGTTGGGGTGTTTGGACTAATTTATTTAATTAATTGAGTGTGAACAAATCGTAGTCTAGAGTGAGGGTTTATCGAAAAACGGAACTTTAGCCATACAATTTATTTTCGATAACATTCAAAACCCTAATTAATAAATCACAAAAGTTTATATAAATCGTATAGAAATGAGGTCATACCGCGATTTACACTCGCATAGCACCATCTGTTATCTCAAATTGGAATCAATTTATCTAATTATACAATGTAATAATTAACTTATATTGCTATGTTGTATTTATTGTTTATTATTATGCATTATATTTATTTATCATATACCTATTTTATATATGTTGAGCATAAATTCTCTATGGGTCAGTCCAAAAAAATTAACTATTACCGTACTAATATTGAATAACTCAATGAATTGTTAAAATAACTTTTTATATGTAAATGAAATTAACTTATATCAACAAGCAAACCTCTTAAGACAGCTATTCACACAAAATTATAACGCCATTTATTAGAAACTAATGTGAACAAAATGTATGTTAACATTTGAGAAATGTGTCTTTCCACTTTAACTGCTGTTTAAGATGTTTTGTTTTCTTTACTTTGATTAATTTAATATAATTCGCTACTTTATTTTTTGCTTATTAAGGTTGATACTAACAATAACAACCAATGTATAATAATTATTTGCCGAATTTTTGCTTACTAAATGATTGTGTAATCATCAATTTCCTTTGCCGTCAAAGTAAAGGTAACAGTCAAAAATCTTGTTTTAAGAATCACATAAATTTATATAAATCGTATGGAAATTAGATCATACGAAGATTCATACTGGCGTAGCACCATCTGTTATCTCAAATTAGAACCAATTTATTTAATTATACAATGTTCTAATTATCTTATATTTATTGTTTATCATTATGCAATATATCTATTTATTTATCATATATTTTATTTATGTTGAGCATGAATTCTGTTTGGATCAGTCCAAAACTATAACAATACTAATATTTTATAACTTGTAGTAAAAAAAAAACGTTTTATATGTAAATAAAATTAACTTTTATCAACAAACAAAACTCAAACACCGCCATTCACACAAAATTATAACACCATTTTTTAAAAACGAATGAAAATAAATTGTACGTTAACATTTTAGAAATGTGTCTTTCCACTTTAACTGCTTTAAATGTTTTGTATTTATTTTTTACTTTAATAATTTTAATATACTTCTCTACTTTGTTTTTTGTTAACTAAGCTTGATACAAATAATAACAACCAATGTATAATTATTGTATCGAGCCAATTTATGTGTTTTCAAATGTAACCCAAAACATAGTAGGGTAGCTATAGATAAAGCGATCCACAGCCACATTTTAATTTTTTTGTGCTAAAAATTTTTTTGGCTTGTGCAATCGTCAGGTTTATTTTTTTCCCGTCAAAGTATTCATGCGCAACTCCCAACCCACAATGACTTCGGATCATACATCAAGCACTCGCGATGTCTTGGGACAAAATTTGTGTCGCTAGTCTTATAAACGCATACTTCTAAATACTCGTGGAATAGGTTTACGGAATACGTTTTTACTTTGTATTAATCGGGTTGCGTTTTCATAACTCGAATAAATTCATACAACACTGACAATTCTATTCTCTTTGGTTTAACGTCCTGAATTGACGTTTAGATCCAACAATTTGTGCTGCCATCTAGTTCTTTATTTTTTTAAATACTTCGTCATTCTTTTTACAAAATTGCGATACTCATTTTTTTTTTTTTCTCGTTTTTACTCGAAAGTACGAGTACGCTCGTACAGCGTACTCGTACTTGCAAGACTTAGTACGCGTATAGCCTAGTACGTCCCATCTCTAGTAGATAGCAAAACGACCGTGACAGTGACGGAACTAGGGATTGCGATCTGTAATCATATTTTTTTACAACTATGAATTCAGTGTAAGAATTACAAATCGATTTTTGGCCACTAAAATCGATTTTAAAATCCCTTTTATAGATATAGCCACTGCGATAAAGATTTATATAATTATGTACCGTTTAGAGGCGCGATTTCTTTCAGAACTAATTGTTATTCAAATGATCAAGAAACAACAAAAGCTTAGTTGTTGAAATATTGCAGCATAATTTAATTCTATCTTTTGTCTTTTTTCAATAGCTTTCAAACTAATTACTATTTGCATTTAACGCTTGCCTTTGACAATTCCAATTAATACCAAATTAACAATACCGTGAGTTCAATATTTAAAAAAGTCTTTATCGCAATCTATTACTTGTCAAAAAGCTGTAGCGTTAAGTTCGTGATTATCTTTTAAATATCTAATTGAAAAGCATTGAAATAGGTTTGAAAATAAAGTAATGAACCCCTATTCTGTTAAATGAAACTGTTATCAAAGAAAAATGAGTATCGCAATTTTGTAAAAAGAATGACGAAGTATTTAAAAAAATAAAGAACTAGATGGCAGCACAAATTGTTGGATCTAAACGTCAATTCAGGACGTTAAACCAAAGGGAATAGAATTGTCAGTGTTGTATGAATTTGTTCGAGTTATGAAAACGCAACCCGATTAATACAAAGTAATCTTTGAATAAATTTTGTTTTTATTTGTATAGAAGAAAATGGAAACTAACACAATGGAAGTGAGCACAGAAGTTTTTTTTAAATTTATGTAAATCAATTGAATTAATGCTGTGATATAATTAAAAGTGGCATTTAGCTACAGTATACAATAATATTACCGCCAAATAGTTTTTATAAATAAAATACTTATGCCATAGTAGGTCTAGTAATTTTTCATAATAATATTTAACAAAAGTTCTGAAAACAATAACAACTAGATAAGTTAGTTTTATTGCTATTTGTTGTTTGTTGAACTTACAACAACAAAACTACATCAAGTCTCAATAATATTTTTATATAGTATAGTGAATGAATGAATAGGGTTTATTAATCAGCAACAAAAGTCATAAAAACGATAATTATGATAAAAATCCGTTTATTAATTATATACTTACCCAATATGTATCAAATATACTAGGTATGCGTACAAAATAACATGACTTCTGGCTAAAATGACGTTTGTGCAAAGTGTAACATGCAAATAACTTGGGCTTTCGAAATTAAGACTTTAAAAACTGTGACCAGTTATTAAATCTTCTATTCATATGAATTCGGATGAAAGTTACGAGCAACTAATAAGTTGGCTCATCACTAATGTTGACGTATCAACCAAACATCGTTCCTTTACACGTAACATAATAAATAACTTAAACTTACGATTAAAATAAATTAAAATTAATTTGAAAGTTAGATATTGTAAGAAACACAAAATGATGTCATATTTATTAATTTTCGATACTCAATTTACTTTCATTAAGTCAGAAACAACATTTGAATGAATATCATAAACAAAATCCAAACATCGAGAGTGACATCTAGTATGATTTCAATGAACAAAATACTTCCCCAAGTAGATAATATTTTAAATAAAATAAGCATGGTAGTGTGACTAGAATATTCAATACCACCAGAAAAAGAAAAATATTTATTTATTTTCGTTTGCTATCTACACTCGTAATGTGATTGATCTCACTTGATTTTCTAGCTTTAGGATTATATCGATTCATCAGTGGTAAAAGAATAATAATCATTGATATAAAATCGAAATCACAAGCATCCCTAGTTTAACAGCTGATTAATGGCTTTGTTTGTTTTGAGGTTTAGTTGTATTCTTTTATGGTTCATGCGATAAATAGTAATATTTATTATTATTTATGCATACAAATCAGTATTGATTCTATATAGCAGAGCCTGAAACGTATTTTTACATTTGTCTAACTTTTGATTACACAACAATGTCAGTACACTGGAGTTCTGAAGTAATGAAATGGGAGTACAGGGAACTTCAAGCAACGGCAATGACCGTCGATTACTCTGGCAACAACGTGTTGTTAGCCGGTCGGAGATGGTTAGCCATAAAACAAATTAATTTAGAAGACGATGCCGGTGACATTGTTAAAAAATACTCTCGACAAAGTAAATATGATGCTGCTGGTGCAGAGTGGTGTCAAACATATCATGGACAAAAGTTATGTGCTATCGCGGTTAGTAGAAATAACATTATGTTTTTATGATTATTTTGAAATATTGAACTGATATATTTATCCATTTCCCGATCAATCATTACCCATTTTATCCTTGAGCATCATTGAATACAAAGATGATTCTCAAGGGCAAAATATGTCCAGAAGATTTTATTTCATTGAATAATATAAGTTTCACTTTTATAGACATAAATAGAGACTTTTTAACTATCAAAACATCAAATTATAAGTAATAGCTAAAACTTGGAGCAGTAAAAAGCATAATATTAACAATATGATTGAATTTTCATTGTCATTATTATAAATATATTGATGCTGGAGAGCAAGACCAATCCTTTAGACCAAAATAACTTTTTAAGTTTAAGACAACTTCTTAATTCCATATAAATCGACTCAGAGTTACCATATTTGTTATTATGGATGTTCAAAAGATTTTTTTTTTCAAAAAAGATTTATTAAAAAAGATTGATTTGTGAGTTACCTACTTTGTTTGTTTTCCAGCATAGATATATTCAGTTCTTAAAATTTACATTCTTATATGATTTCTAGAGCAACCAAAGAGTAGACGTATATGAATGGCTTGGAGGCAATGACTTACGCTGTTCAGCATCTCTCCGTGCCCATACAAGGGTAGTCAGTGATACACATTTCCATAGACAAGACCATAACCTGATTGCAACATGTTCTATAGACACATTCACACATTTATGGGACTTAAGGGATCCCAGGAAACCTATACTTTCTATGTGTGCTGTTGGTTAGTTATTGTCATTACTGATATAGTAATTATTTTGAATTTGTTTTAGTTCATATCTGATGGAAGATGTGTTGCATCTCAATGGCAAATATATAAATTTGACATTCAACCTTGCACAGTGATGAATGTTCTGTAACAAAACTACTAATGCATACATCAATGGTACTCTTGATGTATCTTCTGTCAGATTTGCACCAACAATAAAAAATAAGTAAAATATTAAGTCAAAGACTCTTATGATCACTTTATAATTTGTTATACTACTATATATGACACTTATAATAAATATTTTTGGCTTATTTACCTTATGTACACAACACCTAAATTTCTCTACCCCTATGTGTGTGTAATAATTTTTTCTACGTTACTTTTAGCTGGAGCTTCTCAAGTACAATGGAATAAAGTAGCCTCCCACATTGTGGCGACTGCACATGATGGCGACATTAAAATCTGGGATTATCGTAAACACAATGCACCTATACAATATATATCTGCACATTTGTGCAAAATCCATGGTGTTGATTGGAGTCCACATCATGAATATCAGCTGGTTACATCAAGTCATGATGGCAGCATAAAATATTTTGACATAAATAATCCAAGAAGGCCAGATAATATTATAATGACAAATTTTCCTGTTTGGAGGGCTATTTATACTCCTTTCGGTAGTGGGTTATTAACAATAGGGGTAGGCTGGGGTGGCCTCCCTAGGGTGGAACAGGCAGGTGTTATTGGTATCTGGGTAGGTGGCACTCTTACACACAGGCTAGTCGGACACACTGACACAGTACAAACCATGGTCTGGAGGCCAAACACTTCACCATCCAATTACCAGCTTGTTACATGGGGTAGAGATCAGTCCCTTAGGGTGTGGTCCATGAATCAGTCTCTTCTGAAAATGTGCAACCACTATTTACCGGATGATGCAGAAAATGAAGAAGATAACAGCAGTGATAGTAAGTTATGATTAAAATTAAAAACCAAATAGCGTTCATGCAAACATCTTATAGTAGGAGATTCAGTTTTATGATATGTAACAATAGTTACTATTATTTCTAGATGCGAGTTACGCATCTACAATTGGTTCAATGAATGACATCTCCGTAACTGATAATAAAGGTCAAGACATCCAAATGGTGAGTAAAATTGGTACAAATTAATAACATTTACAAGCTAATACTATATAAGTTGCATTCTAATGATAGCAAACAAAACTTTCACAGCAAACTTTAACAACAATAGATGAAGAATTTGAATCAATTAGAGAAATGGCCAATATCGAAGTTACCGATATGAATATTGAAACAAGAACATGTCAGATACATTCTGAACGGAATGGTTATATTGCAAATTTGCAAGTTATGTTCCCGAGAAATGTCACAGAACAAACAATCCCAAAGTTTTCTTGGCTAACTGGAACCAATGTAGATAGCGCCACTACCATCAAAATTCTTCAAGCTATCAATGTTACTGCTTATCGGAAGAAGAAAGAAGGTCACAGATGTCTTTTGCATTGTTTGAAGACCTTAGCTACTTCAATAGACGAGGTATGGATTTCTGTATCCATAGAATATAATCTAATATTAAATATGAGTTATTAATTGTCTCGTTCTAAAAGCTCATATTCATACGTTTTCAGATACCGGTAAAATCTAGTGATGACTCTGATTCTATGAAATCTAGTCAGCGAAGTCAATCCGAAAGTGAAAATGCGGGTGATTCGTGTATACCATTTCCGCGTACGTGCGGTGCCAAATGGTGCGGAGTAGACACCCTAGTAGTGTTCAACAGACCGCCGAATACGCGACGTCTTTCGTTGAAACACGAGACTGGCACCCCTCGTTCGATGTCCTCATTATCTCTAGCACCTGCACTGTTCGGTGCTGGATATAGTTCAGCATCACCTCATGCGACCACCACACCGTCGCCAACAAATGCCGCAGGTTTCCCGCAACTACATCTCAGACATCCTTCAAATTCTATCACAACATTCTATTTTCAAGACAGATGGGTATGTTTATTATTAACTAGCAATCTCACTTAATGTGTGTCAATTAATATAAATTGTTCACTTTTATCGTTTAGAAGGCTCAAGGACGTCGTGCTGGAAGTATGCGCAGCCGTGGCAGTATATCAGGATATGGATCACCTAGAGTGGTACTGTATGCTGCATCAAGTTTATTTCCACTTCATCGCACTCTAGCCGAAAAGTATGTGATCAACGCTGCAAATCCTGTTGGCAAGTTGATTTTCTATCCACACATTATTCATCTAACCGCTACAGAAACTTACATGTATGCTTTTGAAGTATATTGTTGCTAATTCAGATTTATCACATTTGCGCTATATCTTTATCTATTGTCTTTTATATTATATTTGTAGTAATTCTGATAATATTAGCAAAACCATTCTTTTTATTGTTAGATATGTGTGAGAGGAACAATAAAATCGCGTCAGAGGAAGGTGAAAATGATTTAGCACATGCCTGGGCATTGGCAGCCCTGACAGCTCGTTCGCTGCGTGCAAAACACCGTGACCACTTCGTCTCCGGTGAGGAAAGTATGGGCTGGACTAGACATCCCCTGTGCTGCGTCCTATTACAATCATTGTGAGATCATTATTTTCATTGTAACCTTCTAATTATGTCTATAGATTTGAATTTTTTTCTGTCAACTAAGATCAGTATAATATTTATGACTAAAATTTCAGAATAAACCACTATGCGAAATCAGCAGATTTACAAATGGCCGCAATGTTGGCGTGTGCGTTCTCTGTTTCCAATTCCTCCAACAACTCTAGCTCACAATCTAGCGTTAGTACATCAAGTTATGTGAGTATTTATTAAAACGATTACCGTGTTTCACAAGGCAGTATATTAAGCCCGATATTATTTATAAATGTAAATACAACTTTCGTGTGTTTCTTTAAAAAAGATTTCATATATAATAAATATATTTTAATGTGAATTTTTATTTCTTTTGCAGGGAAATAATACTTCCCCGTATAGTACATTAAATCAATATAGCGAAATTAGTGCCGAAGGATGGACATTACCTATTGTACTTAGAAGTAATTCTTGTTCAGAAGCAGAAAATTTTTACACTGACTCTACAATATCAAAATATGAAAGGTCCGCTTTCGTTCTAGACGAAGCCACTGAACATCTTTACTACTGCTTCAAACGTATTTATGCTGACATTTTACATCGTTGGCAGTTACTATACAAGAAAACAGAGGTGACTATAATATTTTCGATAACAATTACAATACATACTTATGTATTTTTAAATCGCCCTGATATAACATGATTTTGATAATTTTGGAGTAATCGACATTTTAAGAACATAATTTTATTTAAATAATTTACTGGGCATAACCATAACTTTATCCGCTTTTCATTGACTTATAATGTTAAAGCCACAGAACTTTTATGATGAAATGGCTGAGCAACAAAATAATAAAGCGTTCTACAATCTCACCACATGATTATTGAATTCTTTATTTAATTAATGCAATAATAAATAAATAGATTAAAAAAAATTGCTGTCTGTTTAAATTTTTAACATTATATTTTAACCGTCTATTGTAGCCGTTGCTATTTTAACACAAATCAAGAATGCCAAGGAAATATTTCAACACTCTTGGTAATATTATTATGCGTATTTCATTTAATTATGAAAAAACACATTAAAAGCGTCACATATAAATGTTTTAATTCGCTTTATACAATGTTTTTATATTATTTTTATCTTGTTTTACATTTAAATCCAAATGTCAAAACCTATAAAAAAAATAAACCGTCCATAGATATTTTTATGTCTCTTCAACGCTAACGTTTCGCGCGTAGGTAATGAAACTAGTGAAGTGCAAACACGAGAGAGTGTCACTGGGACCGCAATTGGTGGCGGAGTGTGGTTTCTGCGGGCGCGTGGCGACCGGCGCGGCGTGCACGCACTGCGGCCGCGTGGCGCTGCGCTGCGCGGTGTGCACGCTCGGCGTGCGCGGGCTCGCGTGCGTATGCGCCTACTGCGGGCATGCGGGACACGCCCACCACATGATGCTATGGTACTGTATTGTCTGTATATTTACCAGTGGCGTAGCGTGCCTTGCTGGGGTCCCGTATGAAAATTGCATGAAGGGTAATGATTTCTCACAAAAGAAAATAAATGTTTGTATAAACTGCGCGAATTTTAACATCGATTATTGTGGGATTCTACTGTTGAAGTAAATGACTTAAATGGAGAAATCATGCAGCCCGCATGAGTAGATCGGTGGATTAGTGGATAAGCGCCGCGGCCTGCGATCGTAGTCGTTAAGCAACTTTCGCAAGGGTCGGTCACGGGATGGGTGACCAAAAAATTATTATCTCGAGCTACTCCGTGCTTTGGAAGGCACGTTAAGCCGTTGGTCCCGGCTGCATTAGCAGTCGTTAATACCCTCCAATCCGCATTGGGCCAGCGTGGAGGGTCATGGCCCATCCTCCTTAACCATCCATAAGGAAGGCCTGAGCCCCTGCAGTGGGGACGTAAAAGGGCTGGTGATGATGATGTAGCCCTCGAAAACCGATGTAGGGTGTTGCCAACTTTGAAATGCATGCTTTACGCGGGAAAAAGAAACTGCTCTTTTTGGCTTTTGTAATTTCTGAAATAAAAAGAAATATGGGTAGTTTTTATTAATTTTTGCTTACGCACGTTGGGGGCCCCGTATATACGGCAGATACGGCGGTAACTACGCCCCTGATATTTACCTTCATGGTGACGCCGTTAGCACACATACATGATGGATTTAATTAATGCAGTTATAACTGCGTCAATCATTACAGTGCTGAATCTAAATGTTACAAAGTACATTGAAATGTAACCCCTATAACATTTCCTTGTAGGTTCTCGCAACGAGATACTTGTCCTGCCGGCTGCGGATGCAAGTGTCGCATAGAAGGCAGCTCCGTGTGGAAAGGTGTAAAATATTAAACAAATATAATGCGATAACATTTTAACTGAAATAATAGAAAAGCGGGTATGGAACGCCTTGATATATATTTTTATTATTCTAATACTTACTAAGAATAGGCGTGAAGATTAAGGATACATAAATTACCCGGCTCGAAAGTAAATGAAAATAGGTATCAGAGGAAGTGAAATGAAGAAACTTAGCCATAGCAACATGTTATACGACGATATTTCCGTACAAATTCACTTCCTGCCACCTGCCACTCAAGAAATGATGTGATTTATTACCAGAGGTCGGAATTAGGTAGAGTTATTTATGTACTTGCATCGAAATGTTGATATTAATGTGGACCTTCCCGGGATTTCTTTATTTCTTCTTCCTTTATTTCTTTCTTTCATTGATTGGCAGTTTGGCAACGTCGTGCGTGCAGTAGTTTAAATTGTGTAAAAGTAAATAACTTATTATTTAAAAAATCACGGGACTTTTTCTGCTCTTTAAAATTAATCTCAGGATTTGAGGCATATCCACTTTATTCTTTCTCTGTATGAAATCAGTGTAAGTACATAACTGTACCTAATTCCAACCACTGTTTATTACTATACTGATTTATATCGTTATTGTGATTTTTTGGATTTGATATTTTGATATTTTAATCACTCTGAAGTGTTATAAGTATGTAATGACATATTATATGTAACACAAAAATCCTTTTGTTATTAAGCTTACAGTGATTAAATACTTATAATACCGGGTATTAGACGCGGTTTTACACTGATACATGTCTTAATTTTTATAATAAAACATATATGGGCTCTGTATATGTTTTAATATAATATAATATAAATTAAGACATGTATTGTTCAAACCTGTATACTTTTTTTTTAAATTACTAAGATTATATTTAATTTTTTTAACGTTGCAGATTTTCTCGCATGAGCATTTACAATGTCTTACCATTTGTAAGATTAAACTATCTTAATACAATTTATATGTAAGTGCATAGAAACCCTGCGTTCCTTAAAGCATAGGTATATTAAATAATTTGAAATATTTTTATATTTATAGTTATATTTACAAAAAAGGCGATTTCGAACAGAACTGATGATATCTCTTTTGCTGACAACAGTAATCAAATATTCTGTTATTTTACCAACGCAATTTATACTTTAATTATATATGAAAATAACTCTTATACGTTTCACAAACACATACGTAGATGGCACCACAATACCTACAAGTTCTATTTGATATAGAATAAAAAGAGTTAACCGATAGTGTAAAAAAGCCGCGGTGCCTCTCTTTATATATTTACATAGATAAAATAAGCACAAATATTGATTCTTAAAACTTTATATCGAATACCTACACAATTATTAAATAATGAACAATAAAAAGCATTTATGAAGAGTAAAACAATACATTATATGTACGGAACGACTACTTGTTTACTGTAATTTTGTAATTAAGTATAATTAAGTATGATAATTTATATAAGTTTTTATATGCGTGGTGTTTATTTTGGCGCTGTATACAAATAAGAAATAATTTAATTATTGAATTAATTTTAAATATGGTTAAGTTCTGATTTAAGTGATGAAAGACTGCATTTTTTATAGTTTAAAATAAATAATTCCACAATTATATTTTTGATAATTTCTTTATTTAACAAACTTTATTACAATCATACAGAAAGTAAATAAATGAAATGGAAAGTGCTAGTTAGTTTTATATAATACGTGACATATATTTAATTTCATGAAACGCTTTATAGTCTCAGTCTCTTAAAAGCATTTATCATACAAACAGTTAATATGCTTTCATATTTAGCTTACATTCGATATTCTTAGATTCGTACTATAATACCAGGATTTTCATAATAAATAATTGTAACTTGAACATTAACGAATATCCTTTACACAGCAAATAATTATAGTCGCGCAAAAATAAATATGTTACCGGATGTTACACAAGTGGATAATGGAGTGAAAAATCATTGCAAAATTAATTTCCCTATAGAAGTTAGTTTATATTGTTATAGTACATAGTTGCGTCAGACTTTCAGATTAAAATTTAAAACCTTTTATTTCGCCCATATCTAAGGACTCTGATATATATTATTACTCTTAGGCCTCCCCAAAACTATGGACGTTTGCTAGTCGCATGAAGAGACTGCGCTTTGTCAGTTACGGATCAGCACGCCTAGAATGACAAACTTGAGAATGGTTTTTTCTACAAACAAATGTCACCTTTTCGGTTTGAAAAAAATATGTATGTACCCGAGAAACTAGAGGCGTAACTACATGGTGGCAAGTCAGCAAAATACCACGGGCCCCCAGCTAGAAGGGGCACCCGGTAAGAGGAGGAGAATTATTATTAGACGATTAGTAAAAAAAATAGAACGTCCGATGAATTTGCCACGGGCCTCAAACGGTATAGTTACGCCACTGCGAGAAACGATGTCTCTCTTCATGCTAAGCGTGCTGGGGTGGGGCCGCCTAGCTCTGCAGACATGACCAGTGGCGGATTAACCCCGTCGGGGGCCCGCTAAGAAGAAGACATAAGAAAGAATAAGGCAGTACAACCCCAATTTATGAATTGATCAAGAGAACTAGCAGCCATTTGGAAGCCCCCACAACAAGAGACCCACTTAGTCCGCCACTGGACATGACTAGCCATAGAATATGATATCTTCACGATGTAATGGCGTTTATTTCGTTTCATTATTTTTCTATCCATCTTTTAGTGTATAGATGACTAACACCCATTTGCACAAACATCCATTAAGGTTTACTGACGACCTTAAGCGCTGATGAATGTTCTAAATTCGAAAATTAGTTTCGGTAATGTCGCTTTAAACCAGGAGTTCCCAGACCCATGCCGTCTACTGCCCACTTTGAGAATTAAAAAATTTAAGCGCCCCCATCTTTTCACCTACTTCAGAACCACTATAACTTCAAATTAAATTAATTATTGAAAGCTATATGTATAAGAGGAAATTTAAAATTCATTCTAAATAAGACTTTTAAACGGAGCAACCGATTGACATGATTTTTTTAAAATTATTCAATAAAACAAGGCAGATATGCATATATAAATCACATGGAAAGATATAAAGACCTGAGTTATTATGAGCAATCTGTTAATTAATATTATTAGCTGATGTTCATAACTTTTGTGTGTCGTGTCGAAGAGTCCACGTAGATAAGAGTGGATACCTTGCCGCCCCCTTTAGGCCTGCAGCGACCACAAGTGGGTGTTATTAGCCACTTTGGGAAGGGCTGCTTTAAACTGATGACAATTTTATTGGACGTTTCCGCGCCTGGATGTTTTTTGACGATTTGGACGATTCAAAAGTGCTTGTAACAAGCTTACTTGAATAAAGATAATTTCATTTCAGTACTATGAGACGAAATATTGCCATAACATCGCTTAGATATCGCACCGCAGTTCGCCGACTATGACAATGATTCGATTACCAGTACACGAGAGTCCTGTCCCGCATCGTGACCACCTAATGGCTCGTTTACATTGGACGATAGGGGCCACATGTGACCACAGAACACATTAACATTTAGCATGTGACTTACGAAGGACGTCTGCGAGCACATGTTTACCTTATTTCAGTTATATTTTCTGAATTAAGTATATTAAGTTACTTAATTAAGAAAATAGATTGTCCGAATTTCATATCTGCTAATTATTTATTAAAGGTTGATTATACCGGTTGATATTAACCAGGTTTATTCAAAGGGCTCGCTCGGAACGTAATCGTTTGTCAAGCGCAGACCTTTTTACAAAGCTTGCTGTGACTGGATGATATTTAATTCTTCGTATGCACGCGTCAATACTATTCAATACATTCTATATCTAATAACAACCTTGCTATGTGTTGGGACTATCGTCAGTATCTTTACGACACATCATTACCTTACTTTACCTTGAAAATACAGATAAAAAATAATAATTCGCGTTAGATACATATTAAAAGCGACACAATAAATAACTGCACTTGGGTGTAATCATTCCAAAAGACAATCTATTGATTTCTTATTACGACGATACACTTAAAATAGATTTAATTAATATAAAACGAGTAATATTTTTATTTAATTTCATTTAGGCGTTGATTTCTTTTCTAGTATGACAAGTGGTTCGTCAAGATTTCATTAGTTAAGGGTCTCGATAGAAGGCGCTAGTTGTGTGAAACAAAAACGTTTTGTTTACAAATACCTAAAAATAGTCATGTCCAGCCTAGAAAAAAAAGCTTGTAAGTTAAACAAAATTCGCATAGAATGTTAGTAAACCATTATTAATGAAATGTCAAAAATTGCCATCTTGGATAGATTGGAAGTTTTCTTATGCAAAAAAAAATATCTAAGGTCAAAGGTCAAAAATTCAATTTTTTTATTTTATGATTACTCATTCACACCCTATTTATGTTACAGTGTGAAATCGGTAAGATATTACAACGGTTATTTAAAAAATAAAATCTTATAATTCACCCTCTTAAAACAACAATAACCTGTGTCTTCGTCATCTTATAATACTATAAATAAAATACTAAATTATAACAAGTTTTGGTCTCGTTTTCTTTCGTTCCAAACAAAAATCGTTAACTTTTCATATTTCTTTAATAATCACCCTCTAGTGTCATGCTATAAGCTATAGTTTCTTTGAAATATAAAAAATGCATGGTTGTATGGTAGAAACTAAAACAACAAATTCTATATACAACAGTCTCTTATCTACAAGAATGATTTTAGAGCAAGTTTACACTAGGGATAAATTAGGCACCAATTTTTGAAAGCAAATACAACTAAGGTTTAACCTACCCTCACTACATGAGGTCGATATTATTGCAAAAATTAGATTTTCTTAAATTTTTTAGCTTCGAAATTCTTGTTTATCAAAAGGAGAATTTTACAAATATATTTATTTTGTTGAATTGATTAGTACCTTTGATCGATATATGTATTAAGTTTCATTGACTTGTAGTATTATGAAACAGAAAATTAACCTCTACAGTTACTGAACTATGTATGTAGCCGATTAGTAGCGCTCTAGTAAACTACAATTTAAACCAAATAATCGAATAGCGACGCGCAACGTGTTATGGACAGAAGTTAATACGTTTTATCGCCAATAAGTTTTTGTTACTACATTATCTACACTAATATTTGTTTGTTTGTAATGACTAGGCTCAAAAAGTACTGGACCGATTTTAAAAATGCTTTCACCATTGGAAAGGTACATTATCCAAGAGTAACATAGGCTATATTTTAAACATATTTAAAAACATACTGTATGTATCTGTCGATTGGAATGGTTTTGATTTATATAGAAAACGCTTATTTTTCACTTAGTATTTTAAAGAATATCTTCCACTTAAACGAGTCTATGACTCAAAAACATAATATTTCACCTCACGATTCGTATCTTATCTGTCTTTGGGATAGATAAGCCGGTTTCGGAAATTAAGTGGCATCAAAATCAAACAATTACTATCAATTTATCATGTGTAAGTGTTAACTATAAAGTAACACATTTATCAATTTTGTCTATAAAACAATAAGAAAAAAATATTAAGAGTAAAATTGGCATATTTTGTTAGAAAATTGTATTAAATGGTCCACTGATATAATATACCCCATTTTTAATACATATCATTTTGCCTAGGTACCTATAATTAATTTGGTATGAATGATTTGCTTTCCCTCCTCAAATATTGCAACCTAAAACGTTTTTCTGTTATATTCCTGATGCGAGTTAATTTGTTTAGTTGGTGCAAGGGGTGAGATTTCCATGCACGAGCTTTCCTGCAAAAAAAAACCTGATACAAAGACTTACCATCGGGAAATTTGATTATTATCACTACTGTGAAATGAAAGTAAAGACCTACTTAATAGTATTTTGTTGCTTTCGTTCTTGAATGTGGAATATATCGATTAAAGGTACCATCAGATCTAGAACTGGAGATTCGAACTGCACAGGTGATTCTATAATAGATATCTACAAGTATAATCTACTGTGGTGTAACGTAATTACGCATGCGCGACGCAACCTGACGCGTCGTGTCTCACAGACGGGTCGTTCTATTGTAGCAGCTAAAACAAATGACATTTATTAGAATAACAACAACACAATACGAAAACAAAATTTTCAAGACTATGAAAAAGATTACAAGGTAAAGAATAATCTATTATGTCATTTCTAGGAATCAAACATAAGAAACAACGAAAATTGAATACTACACATACATACGTATTTCTAAAGAACTAAACAGATAAAGTCGAACAGATTTTCAGTACTACTAATTATTTATAAGAAGTAAATGAATAGATGTTCCCAGTTAAAACCATTAGTATTCCCTTTTTTACGTTAACTAATCGACGCGAGTTTGTCGTATGAAAGGTGTTAGTACAATGAGCGTGATGTTGTCGTACCTCTCTAGCAGTCGCCGCTTTAGTTCGGGCGGGTACGTGACATAAATGTAGTGGTCGTCTTGGTCGGGGTCGTCGAGTCCGTCGTCGCCCGGCAGTCGCTCGCCGCGCGTCGGTGACGAGTGTGTAGTCATAGATACGGACGCGCTGCCCGCCACGCTACCCTCCTCCGAGCTGTGTTATAAAAAGGATTTTCAGTGGGAGCCGAGTATCTTTTCCAATAATTGAAATATGACCCAAGCGTGTGTCGAACTCGCACATGATGGGATCCGTACCATTGCATAATATTGATTTAATAAATGTTTCTAACATTTTTCAACGAAATCACTCAACAAGCCTTTTGAAAAGTCTCACAAGTTTGATCGTATTGATTAAGATATCAGAAAGCTCTTCATGGATATCGTCATACTGACCAATCAGCTGTTAAGGTATTTGAACAGATTCTTCTAAACAGACTTGCAAGATAACTAGCCGAGAGATAAGTACCAAATCACCTGTTAGGCTTTAGGCAACAATATGTTACAATGGAACAAGAACAAGACTCTATTCACTCTAGAGATATTCGGGAACCCATAGAACCAATAATACTATTCAACTGCTAACTTCGACATTCAACAGGCTTTTAACAGAATCTAGCTTAACTGCTTGTTGAATTATAAAATATATAAAAGTATACTTACTCGAACACTATCCATATAATGTAATAGCACATGCATAATGCTAATGCCAGTCCTGTAGCTAGCGCCAGTAACAATGGCCAGGGGAAGGCGCGCGCACTCGGCGCTGTCTCCTCCCAGTACCGGTCACAGCTTAGATACCAACATACCGCACGCTGCATCTCCTCTAACAACAGATAATGACTTTAATTCTTGAATATTGTAATTTTTATATTCTCGCTTATATGATAGTACCTACCGCTAACTTGAATTAGACAAGTCGCTCCAGTAAAGAAGACAACTGGTTAAGTTATTAATGGTTGCGCGTTGAAAATATCTATCAAAAATTGATATAGGTATGTATAAAACTAATATAGTTTGATAATTTTAATGAAAATTCTTAAAGAATTCACTTTGTCCCTGGCACTCTGGGATGGAATGGGAGTACCAGGCATAAATTGTATTTTTTAAGCATAATATAGTTAGTTTCGGTATGGGGGCTCCCATTTTCCTCTCTTCGACGCTTTTATTAGTCTATTGGTATGTGAAAATAATACGTTTATTCTTACTATTGTTATATCAGCGAAGTTTTTTATATTTTTGTTCACTTCTACTATAAAAAAAATGTGATATTAAAAAGATGGCCTACTGACCCTCAAGCTCTGTGAACTGATGCTGAGTTAGGTGTAGAAGTAGTGTTGCAATACAAGAGTGTACGACCCTCTCGCATTTGACCTTCAGAACCTGAAGCCTGGTGGGGTCGCAGGCGGCCCTCTCTGCTTGTAGATCCGCTAAACGTTTCTGACGACTGTCCGGGGGGAGAGATGACTCTACTGTGTCAGCATCACACAGCTCTGCTGTTTGATTAGCGTCACTTTCGCTATCTTCGGTCCCTTTCTCTTCGACTTCTGTAAAGTGGAAATTGTTTTTTTTAACTTAACGATGCTCCTAAGGTTGGTAGAGTAATTCTAACAACAGTAACAGAAAATATAGACTTTTCAACCTCGCCATTATGTAAGTAGCTCGGTGGCGTAGTGGATAAGCACCGCGGCCCACGATCGTTGTCGTTAAGCAACTTTCGCAAGGGTTAGTCACGAGATGGGTGACCAAAAATGACTATCTCGAGCTACTCCGTGCTTCGGAAGGCACATTAAGCCGTTGGTCCCGGCTGCATTTGCAGTCGTTAATACCCTCCAGTCCGCATTGGGCCAGCGTGGAGGATCATGGCACATCCTCCTTTACCATCAATAAGGAAGGCCTGAGCCCCTGCAGTGGGGACGTAAAAAGGCTGATGATGATGATGATGATTATATAAGTGATTTAAAATTTCATATAGATAATAATAACTTTAATGCAATCATCCATGAGTGATGGGTTATATCTGCTTGACTAATGTTGGGGTAGTCTAGGGGAGAGGGGAGATCGTTAGAAGTCGAAATCTTATAATGAAAGAAGACAAATATGATATAAGATGGGAATATAAAGAAGGAGAGAACAGTATTTTTTGCATTATAATTTTGGAATGAGTGTGCGCCGTGGTCTTTATTGGAGTCAAGAGTTTTACGGCTGGATATTTTATTCATTAGTATTATAATTATACACTAATAACTTATCATTAGAAGACGGGCGAAAAGATAAAAATAACATTTGTACTTGGATATCAATACCTATTATTTCTATTAGCCAAAGGTTGCCTGGTAGAAATGCAACCTTAGCAATAAGTCCAGCTTTTACATAATTGTCTATTTCTTTAAATTTGAAGACGGGCGAAAAGATAAAAGTAATATTTGCCCTTGGGTATCAATACCTATAATTTATATTAGCCAACTATTGCCTGGTAGAAATGCAGCCTTAACAATAAGTCTGCCTTTTGCATGTATGTTTATTACTTTAAATTTTATGTCTTATCGATTTTAGTGCAATAAAGTATATTCAATCAATCAAAAGTATTTACTTCGGTATTGCTAAAAAGAGGCAGGACATAAGTATTTGTTACAAAAGGAACTAAACAAGAATAAGAATATTAAATGTTATCAACCAGGTTCGTCAGGTTGGTTGTCTGTAGTGGGGCAATCCCTCAGCGGCGTGGAATGTTGGGGCTGGCTGCGCGCGCGTTGCCGTCTGCGCTGGGGCACACGCGCCACACTCCGAGTAGCCGCTGGTGCCAACGCCTTGCGGGCTGCCTCTACATCTTGCCAAACCTAGGACCACCATTATACAAAATAATTTTCAATACTGCACAAATATTATATTTCATATGACTATTGAAATCCAAAGCGACTTGCCAATGTATTTTTAATTGCATTTAACTTTAAATTAAACAATACAATTTAGCCATTGTTCATGCCAAGTTCATAATTACAGGATTTATGCAAAAACATTGTGTTTATTAAAATTATGAATGACATTAGTTTTTCAGAAAAAGTCACACAAAAGGCAATTTAATTGTAAAAAAAGAAGGAAATATAAAATATTTGCTCTAACTATAGGCCGACTCAAAGTAAAAAATCAGTCACTTTTAAAAGAAGCTAAATTTACCTTGTTTGCGAATGTTTTACCTGTTAGTCACAGAATGATATTACCATCTATATTATAGACTAACCTCAATATCGGTGCCGGGTCCGACTCCGCCGCTGAGCAGACCGTGCGTCACTAACACCTGACACCGCATGATGTCACAGTAGTCGGCGAGACATACTGCATCCTCTGCCTTTAACAATACTAAGCATCAATAATTTCATCATCAACAGCATATTAATCCCCCATGAATGAATGTCATAAAATAGAGAAAATATCGCTCAATAGTACAGTGGCACAACTCTAAAACCATTATTTCGAGAAAACACATTGTGGTGGCATCCCATAGACAATTTAAAGAAAAAATAAAAATTTAACAGTAATAGTATAATACAAACGATTTAAATGTTAAAAAAAATATTTTCATAATTATAAATATATTAAATTTTCATAACTTCGGAGAGCGTTTCTCGAAATATGGTTTTTGATTTGTGCCACTGTACTACTTAGTGAGCGATATATAGCATTTGTCTGAGATATATTGCCCTCTATTAATCTGCCGCCCTCGAGCAAATCCCAAAATGCCTTCTTGGTTTCTTCTTTTTGGGGTTCCATGCCCAAAGAATGAAACGGGAATCCTATTATTAAGACTTCGCTGTCTGTTTGTCTGCCTGTCTGCCACCAGACTATATCTCGTGAACCGTGAAAATAAGAGAGTTGAAATTTTCACAGATGATGGCTTTCTGTTGCCGCTTCAACAACAAATACTAAAAACCAAAATTAATGAAATATTGAAGGGGGCCCATACATTAAACTTTTTTTTGCTGGATATTGATACCGACAGCAGGTTAGACGCTTGAAATATTCACAGAATATTTATTTATTTTCTAACGAAGTCTTTTGTTTTCGAACTTCTTGTTTAATTTTTAACAGATGGAAGTCAGAATTGAGGCTCCTGCTCATTGATCCATAAGTTAGTCAATATAACCCACGCAAGAACTATGTTCCTATGTATTGGATTAGTGCGAATTTTACACAAAAAAAAACTTGGTTTCATCGGTCAAATGGGTAATTTATTGAACTTTGGCAGTGAAATAATAATATAATTGTTAAAATGCTATGTGATGTTTGAAGAAAAAAGCGTCCTAAGAAAAAAAGAAAAACGTAGACTCGAGAAAAAAAACATAATATCTTGATCGCCTGATCGTGGCAAACACTTAGGTAAATTGGAGCTTTAACAAGCAATTTTAATAGTAAATAATATCGTATAGAATATCCCCGTATGCCAGGGTTTCAATTCTGCTAATATTAAGGTAATAATGGCATCTAAATTCATTGCAATTACTATTATTCTAAGTATCTGGAGCCCAATATTATTTATAAGTGCAATGTCTTCTTCAGTAATCAATGGTTACAACTTGTTTTTTATTTTGTAACAAGAACTGTGCTACAACAATTTGTTATTGAAGCGCCATAACGAAGATAACATTATTAAAAGGGCCCAGAAATGCGATCGCCTAACGCTCTAGCCAAATGATACATCTTATCATTATTAAGGCATTATTTCATTTCATTTTATTCGCATAGTATTTAAGGCTGTTTTTGTAAAATAGGGCTACTAGAGACGGCGTTTTCCTATGTTGCCAATTGATCTAAGAGTTAATGATACGATGTTGTTTAGGTACTCTTAGAAAGTTGTATATGAAACGTAGCATTACTAATAAACTGTGAAAACAATGCCTTAATATTGGGTTACAAAATGCACTATTTTAAGTTTGTCAAGTTTTATTTTCCAACTTAATGCGTTAGAAGAGTTTTTTTAACGTTACTAAAATGTCGGATCCTATGGCTAGGCTAGAGAGCTAGATTTATGGGCTAGAGTCCAGTGGTTGCAGCCTTTGTCTATGAAAATGACTTTAGAAAAGACAACCGCTTTTGTGTATACTTTACGAATATCTCCGGCAGCCCGCAAACACTATCGACTCATTGAAATACGCCTAAGTCTTATTCTGGTCGTTACTTTGTTAATCTGGTTCTTGTGTCGCTGGTCGAAGTGAGTGTCTAGGTGTCGCTCCTCGTAAAACGACTTGCCGCAGAAGGCACACGTCCACTGTGAGGGCCGGTGCTGCAGCTTGGCTGCGTGTTGCGGTGAAAATATATCGCGCGCCGGATGGAATGGACACTCTAGTGGAAGCTTTACCTGGAAATTACAAAAAACACAATCTTTATATTACATCTTTCTGCGACGCATTTGTGGCTCTTAAGAAATTTACTCAAAAGACAAAAGAAGCTATAAACTAGTATTATAAGATAAACGTAAACTATATGTAGGTAAATGTAATGTAGAATGTTGTATACTATATTTATTTTTATCTTAGTATTAATTAAATTTAGTTTCTTTCGTAATTTGTATGTGGAAGATATAACTCTATAAAATTTATAGACTACATATTACATTCAATTGGATAAATCTAGAGTTTAGTTAGGAGCTTAAAACTTACTTATCACACAACTAAATCTATCTTAAAAAAATACATGTACCTAATAATAATACTAGATTAATCACGTGTTAATTAACTTATTATAAGTAAAACGGCTTCTTATCCTTTTCTTGGAACACTCTTTTAATCAAATCAATATTAAAAGTATATTATTTCATTTTAACTCTTATAACTAACCTGAAATCGCTCTAAAACGGGGAGCCATTTGTTTTGTATTACTTTTCTGACGATTTTGGAGTTGTCACGTGAGCAAGTGATCTTGAACACCGACGGCCCCGGCCACGGGATCAGCGTCAGAAACAAAAGGATAAGGACCTGCGGAATATTTGAGATTTATATCTATCTATAATTAAAAGGCCAAAAGTAACTTGTTTATATAGTTATTGTTAGTTAGTCTACACATTATATGAAAACAACTGCTCTGAAACGATGTTTTTGGTGATTGAAAATCCCTAATATGACTTTTGACACTTAATCCAAAGAGGTTTAATTACACGATATTTCTTACTTTTACAAAGTCACTGATGTTATGTATAAGAAACATATTTAACTGCAAAAACAATAACTTGGGCTAGGCATCTTGATAACAAATGTACTAAATAGCAGAAAATAAGTTTTATTTATAAACTCAATAAGTAAAGGTTTATAATTTTATTTTTATATGCACTCTGTGTCAGATTGAGTTTAGTTCTCAGTTAATATTATTAAGCTTTAGGTCTTACTTAATATTGTACCTAAATAAATCTACTTGAAAATATTTTAACATACAACTTAAATTATCAATTGAATAAAAGATAGAAAGAAAGGACAAATATAAATATAAATTGAGTACATACGGGTTTATTTACGAAATAAAAATATATCATGAACGATCTAAAAAGATATTCTTTTAATTTATTTTCCACGAGCTATAATTACAATATTTTTCTGTCAAATTAATATCGGTTAAAACTTTTTCTTAAAAAATAAACTTGGACATTGCGTTAAAATACCTGTAAGCCCAATTTAGGGAAAGAACAGACAGGTTATATTATTTAATTATCGATTTTCCCGTATCCCCTCAGTAACTTAACACACATTAGAATAATAACAATACAACTTACCTCGAGGGAAAACGATGTGGTCCTCATTCATATCTTTTATGTGGCAGATAAACGATAAAACTCTCTGAAAGACTAGCCTTTTTTCGTGTATTTCGGTTTCGGTAAGAGGTTGGACTATGCGTGTCGCGAGTGAGACTAGAGTGCGCATGCTCCCGACTTTGGTCCCCCTAGCAGTGAAAGTTGTAAATTATCATTAACAACGAGGGCTATTTGAAAAACATAACTTTGAAGCTGAGATGCAGTCGTGCGGTTAGGGTAGCATGTCAATAAATTTATTACGTACATTTGTTTTTATGTGTAACTCAACTGCCACCCTTATGTCAGTGGTGTACTATTCTTACTCGGTTACTTAAAAAAAATATAATATTGAAAATGTACATTCGTTACAATGTTTCAGTAACGCGTTCTAAATGTTTTTTGACTTCATAATTATCACAGTAAATAAAAACAATAGTACTATCTATTTAATAGTTATAACATTTACGATGAATTCAGTCAGTTGAGTCTGCGTAAATATAATAAGAGTAATACTTAATTATGAATCAATTCAGTAGGAAGATTTGTCAACATTCGCATTTTGTCCTTTTTTCCTAGACAAAGCTACAGACTTGCTACGAAACCGTAGTACTCCAGGAGCAAATGCTACGATACTAGCGCCCGTAGTGCCTTATATATAAAAAACAGAGAAATTTTTAGTACAATTTTAAGAGAATCTATCAGAGCACAAACTAGACTTTCGAATAACTGAGAAACTGAAGTAAACTTTTTATATTATAGTATACATAACTTATATTTAGATTTCTTTGATTACATGTGACTACATAATAAAGTTATAACTAATAACAAACACAAATTAAGATTTATATTTTTTTCGTATAGTTTACTTTAACGAGTGGTAGAACAGAATTGACACCGTTAACCATGTTATTTTGTAGATATACTGAAGAATATAACGAATGTTTGACAAGAATAACATAGATATTAATAATGAAGAGCAACTTGCTTCATTAACTATATTTTTGACAAAATTTGTGTAAATAAATTACATTTCACTACGATACATATAAGGATTAGCATAGAAACAACACTAGAACCGTAATTTTATGAATTGATAATTATTAAAAAAAACCTTTTTAAATTCAGCCAAGATAAGCCAAAAAACAAGAAAATCGCTCGGATTTCGGAAGGCGCTTTGCTTAGATAGTTGATCTTTTAAATTAAGATTATTATCATTATAAGCCTATTAATATCCCACTGCTGGTGCACAGGCCTTCCACGTGGATATTTGAATCAAATCGAAGAGGAAGAATGGGATATCATCTATTGCCATGTTCCACTACGCGGGCGCGGTGCTAATTGGTGAGTGCTACTACAGATGCAGCCTGGACGAACGTCTTAATATTGTATTTGAAGTACAGACGATCTTGAAATAATAAATTTATGATCATCCATCTTAAGACCGGCCCCTTCCAAAAGTTTCTTAACTTTCGCATCGCAAGTAGAACGCGCTAACCATTACGCCATCAAGTTCCTCTTTATATTAATAGTATAGCTAAATCAATGACTTAATTCGTATTGTAATAATTAACTATACTAACACAACATAAAAGCTGTAGTGAAACTACATTAAACATGCTAATGAGTTAATTAAAAGATTCTTATCTATTAAAGATTCTTATCTTTTAAAGATTCTTATCTAAACAGTTGATAAAAAAATGCCTGATTTAATGTTAATTCGTTATTATCAGCTTTTCCCTATTTTACCAGACTACAAAGCGAAAAGGAAGGTTATGATTTTGGCTGGTATGTATGTAAGAATGTTCATCTGTTCCCTTCTTACTTCGAAACTACTCATTGTAACCAGACAAGTGAGGTATCATTAGAAGCGTATTAGATGTCCGCGTGCTATGGGCTATGATGTTACATTAAATTGGCAACAGCGCCCTCTAGAATGCAAAAAGTGCGAAACTAAATAAATATATTATTCAATCATTCCGTGTATTATATCAACTGTAAGCACAATAATCTCATTTCGAATATTGCTTAAATACACCTGAAAATTAATTCAATCAAAAAATAACTTTAAAAACTTAAACTCGACTACAGCTAAATCAAGCTCTAATAAGTTTGAAACAAGATTTAACGGTAGTCGGGTTTCAGATATTGAACATTTTTTTCGGTATTATCCTAAAACACCTGTATATTTCATTATTGTACTAATGAATTGATTTTAATGTTTGTATTTGTTATATCATAATAGATTTCATTTTATAATAACAAAAAACACAACTCAAATCTCTGATATTTTTAGATGTAAACCTAATCTGTTATTTGTGTCAGTTAAATGTCTAAATGGCTGAAAAACAAAATCTTGTTACACCGATCTCGCCATATCTGAGTTTAGTTCGATTCCTAGTCGTGTCAATGTAGAAGAATGAACTTCACTATTTTGTTTGAGTCTGAGCTGTTGTTATGAACGCATTTTTTGTTTCAGATTTCCATTATACGAGTAGTATAGGTACTTTATTTTGTAACTGCATAATGTGTGTGATATTGTCATATATTTATTTTAATGAACGTTAGGCTAAAACACTCCGTCGATCCTATTAAGTAAGAAATAGTCAATTGCCACCGTAGTGCACCACCTCTAGTCTGCGAGCAATCGCCCTCGAGTTAGTTTAGAAAAATAGTATTTAATCTAGCGCAGTTAAACTAACAAGCCATAAAACGACCAATCGGCGTCAAAACAACCAATGTTTGTTAACAATACACGAGAACATTTCCTCTTTGCGGTCCCAGTGTACACTACGGTGTTTGTACTCACTAACTGTATACATTAAACTTAATTAGAGGACGATCATTACGAAAAAGGTTAGTTCATTACCGTAGTTCCCATATTAACACCTCAAAAAATGACCGTATTCAGTTACTGACCTTTGTTTATCTAATAATATATTAAATAAACAAATATTGTGGTACGTCGTACAGTGTTAATCGAATTACGTGAATAATTTATCAATAAAGGCATTAAAATAACAATATATCGAGAATTAAATTTACCGAATTATTATTTGAAAGACTTGTGCTAAAATTAAAACCGCGTCCTATTTTTTTATTAAGAGCAATGTATAAAGCAAGTGATAGGAATATCGCCACATCTTTGTTTCTATCAGTATCGATAACAATATTTTGGACACCCTCAGCGTATAGGAAAAGTGATACTATATTTTATCTAAGAGACATGTTGAATAGCACGTTGTATAACCAAGTAACTGACAACAAAATGGAAACAGTAATTGAAAACGAAGGATGCACAATTCCACAAGTTATTTGGTCGCCTAAACAACTTTCAGAGTCGTATATGAAACCAGAATTGTTAAAGCCCTGCCAGAGTATTCGACACCCTCTACTCAAGAACAATCAGACACATATCTGGGTTTTAGACGAGAACCTTCCCGACCACCACGTGAATAAATTTGTCAATTTTGAATGTTGCTACCAAGCAACGCAATATATAAAAAGAAAGAACAAGTACACGAAGACCCAATGTGAATATTTTAAAAATTATATAAAAGCCGACGACGAGTATGTAAGAGTGACATGTCGATATAACCTGAAAGTTATTTATGAACAATTTTTTGTCTTTGCTACAAAAAAACCTTTCACAGTGCATAGACCACATTCATTTGTGAAACTTCAGAATGATACGGAGTACAATGTAATAATACTGGGTCTCGGTTCCATTTCTAGAGCAAATTTCCACCGCACTATGAGACATACATCTAAATTTCTTGCAGAGAGAGGTGCAGTCGAACTACTTGGTTACAATAAAGTGGCTGAATCTACGTTTCTTAATATGATGCCAGTTCTGACCGGCATGGCTGGCAAACAACTTAAAAAGACCTGCTGGCCCAAAGCTCGTACTACACTTGACAGTTGTTCATTCATATGGGAGAGATTTAAAGATGAAGGCTACTATTCAGCATTTATAGAAGACTCTAACGGTAATGGTATTTTAAAAGATAACAATTATGGTTTCTCCAGCCCACCAACGGATTATTACCTACATCCCTCGTTTCACGAAACCAGCGGCAAAAATAATATTTGCCTCGGAAATGAATTTATTTATAGCGTCAGCCTCGATCACTTAGAAAATATTATCTTTAGAACAAAATCATCAAAACTATTTGCACTTTTCTGGGAATCTTCGATGAGTCACGAATATTTAAATTTTCCGATGGTAATGGATGATACATATGCAGCATTCCTTAGAAATATTGAACACTCGGGCTACCTCAATGAGACTATTTTGATTGTATTAAGCGACAGTGGCTTAAAATCTTCCGGAGGTAAATCACTTGGGGGAAAATTCCTTGCAGAATCTAATCTTCCTATAGCAAATATTTGGGTGCCTCAATCATTCCGTTCCGAATACTCGGTGGCGTTCGAGAATCTTAAAATAAACAGTGGTCGCCTTACAACCGCTTTTGATATACATGCGACTCTTATCGATCTTATTGATCTGTATGCTATACGGAATCCAGAAATTGCGACTAGAGCATCTATGAATTACACAAACCGTAGAGGCATAAGTCTATTCCTCCCAATAAGCGGCAGCAGGACGTGCGCACAAAGTGGAATTAAGAAACGTCTTTGTGCTTGCAGAAAAAATAAAAAAACCACATTAAAAAAGAAACATAAAAAGAAAGTACTCAGATCATGAACTAAGTAAAAAAAATCTTATATTTAGAGTTGATGTTAATCTAAGGTCTAAAATATAAATTAACTGAAGAAAAATTAAACGTCCGTCAACAAACAGGTTCAGGTAGTAGGTAATTCAGTATCGTACATTATGTGTTTATTTCATTATTTTTCTTCGATTGCCACGTTTTGATAAAATTCGTCTTTTATTTAAAATTCTTAATAAGATATTTAATGAAACTGCTATTGTAATCCCGTTAGCAGTTCCTGTCTTCTGTTAAAATGCCAACTGCATAAACAGAGCTATTCCAACTGTCGATATTCAATTATCATATTGAACTTCTATACATTGTTACATAAGTTATTTTTGACAGACAGAGAGAAACTCTTTTTTTTAAATTTAGGTGTAACAAATTCATAAAGCCTTTCTTATAAAAAAAAAATTAACGCTATCGTTCAAATCTGTGAGGATTTCCTTTCTTTTTTCATTGTTTGAGTAACCTACGACGGTCTTATTATATAATTAAAACCATATGATTTCTAAGTTTATTCGAATACGAATTACAAATTCAAATAAAAAGATATCTTATAGATTTTCTGAATATTCGATTATATAATGAAGTTAAATAAATAAATGCAATTTCAAAATGTGTTTTATATATGTGTATATTATAATTACCCAAAGTATAAAAGAAAGAACTAGTTACCAGTAATTGAGTATATGCGCCCCATGAACGTACATTGATACGCATGTGCACAGCATCCCTCTGCCCCCTGGCTTACATCAGTTCTCACTCCAATAAAGGTCTGATACGACGCCTCTCAAACATATAATAAAATCAAAACAAATAAGTGAATGAACTTTGGACATATCTGTGAAAACGAATTTAAGTAAATTTTTCGTTCGATAAAAAAATGTTTCAAAGCAAATCATTATGGCAGCTTGTATCTTCAAAATTACTCGATTTAAAATATTATACAAAATCTTTATGTACAGCGTTTCCAGATTAAATCTCAATAAAACAATAGGACTAATTGATGTTCTTAAAGTGAAGTCATTTAACAAGATCTCTACATAAAACAAAACACTATTACATGAATCTAACTAGGTGAGTTATGTCATCAATTATATGTTATGTTACAGTGTTGTTTTTAATGAATATTATATCCTCATTTTTTTGGGCAATCATAATCAACTTGCTTTTTATTCTAAATCGATCATAAGCGGTCATTAAAAACAGCATAACATTAAAGTACAAAAATCTTTTCAAATGTATATTATGTAGTAAGTATATATTTAAGGTTGTTTCCCTTATCAGAAATAGAATTTGGTTACTATTAGAAAATAAAAAATGATTATCTTAGAATACTTAATATTTTGAATAGAAATAAATAGTAGTATCGTTATATTTTTGATAAACATTCCACAATTACTATATTTAAACATATCCGCGTAACAATGTTTGATCGTAGCAAATCGAAGCCAATATAGTTACGCGATAAGCTTACCGGGCACCTGGGTCTGGTGATATTCTTAAGATAAATTTTATTACGCAATTTAAATATAGTATTATGCAAAGTTTATTGAAAATCGAACCAATTTAGTTATACGGAGGACCCCAGATTTTCATAACCCACGGGTTCGAATCCTATCTGGGGAATAAATACTTATAGTATTTATCTATAAAATAAATTAACATTATAAATGCAAAAAAATATCAAAAGGACATGTCTATTATTTTCAACATAATATTTACATGTAGGTCACAGATTGAATTTGGCGTTGTAAAAATACTCTTGTTTGTTTTATTCATAAGACAATACCAGAAATATTTTTTCCCTTTTTTGTTACTTTTTTAAATTTCTTTCACACGTTAGTTCAAAATAGATGCCCCGTTTTTTTATAATATAACTTTTTGATATTGATCAATCACTGTTTTACAAAACCTATTTTATATTATTATTATTTTATTTCAGCATGGGCCAACTATCGAAGAACCCGTCTCGACTGCGATGTGTTCCGTCACGCTTCAAGTATTTCTTCCTCCTAGCAACTGTCTGTGGCGCTAGCTTCCTCATAATTACCATCAGCAACACTACCACGGTCTTCTTCTTCAGCGATGAAACACCCACCTCGCCCTTAGACTTCCGTCGCTCCAGTCTCTCCGACTCGGAAGAAGGTTTTACCATTAACACAGTCGGATGCACAATTCCTGGGTTGAAGCCTTTCGATGAAAGCATCAAGAAATTCATCAGTCCCCCAGAAATATCACAATGTCGATACGCAAATATCTCATTATTAGGCAACAATGACACGCACATATGGGTCATCCGTGACAGACTACAGTATTACAATGTACCCCAAAACGTGTCTATATCCTGTTGTTACAAGGCATTTTACAGACCTAACACGATTGAAGATATCACATCAAACGATGTAGACGATAGAGTTAAATACGATATGTGCTTTATGTTTTCGGATTACATCGAGGTGGTCAACGAATTCGTTAAAGTATCCTGTTCGTACCATTTAAAGATTATTTATGAAAACTTTTTCTTATTTGCACCCAAGAAACCTTTTTTTACTTACCTTCCAGAAGACTCCACTGAAAGTTTTACAGAGTTAAGAAAAAATTTAACCAATAAGCCAAGTTACAATGTCATCGTGATGGGAATTGACACAATATCTAGATTGAATTTTTATAGAACCATGCCAAAAACCTTGTCTTTCTTGAGGTCGAAAGATGCTATAGAATTATTAGGATACAATAAAGTTGGTGACAATACATTTCCTAATTTAACACCTATCTTGATGGGTATCAAAGACACTGACTTAAAAAAGACATGTTGGCCTGATTTGCGCTCCAGTTTTGATAACTGTCCAATTATTTGGAAATGGTTCAAAGAGACAGGTTTTTACACAGCTCTCGGAGAAGACAGTGCCAAATTAGGAACATTCAACTTTGGAAAAATGGGTTTTGTGGGTAACCCTACCGACTATTATACCCATACGTTTATGCATGAAGCCGAAATTAATGTCGGAAACAATAAAGACTTCAATTCTTTTATCTGTATGGGTAATAAGTATTTCTATCAAGTACTTTTGGATTACATAGAAGCTTTAACTAGAACTTTAAAATCTTCTAGACTGTTCGGATTCTTCTGGGAAGTTACTCTCAGTCATGATTATTTAAATTATCCAATGGCAATGGACGACAGCTATGAAAAGTTCCTAAGAAATCTGGATAAGTCCCGGTATTTAGATGAAACAGTCTTGATATTATTGAGTGATCATGGAATCAGGTGGGGAAACATTCGATATACAAAACAAGGGCGTTTAGAGGAACGCTTGCCATTTGTGCATATTTTACTGCCACCATCATTCCGCGATGACTATGAATACGCTTATAATAATATAAGACAAAACAGCCGACGACTCACAACACCATTCGATATGCACGCAACATTAATGGATTTGATAGATTTGAATAAAATCAAAGATGCATCAATAGAAACTCGTAGTAAGACTAGCTACGCAAAAAAAAGAAGCATCAGCTTATTTCTACCAATACCATCTAATCGAACATGTGAAACGGCTGCAATAGATGATCACTGGTGCACTTGTTATAGAAGTAGAAAAATTTTAGATGGTGATAAGAATGCGGTGGCAGCGGCAGAGCATCTAGTAAAGCATTTAAATATATTGATCCAAGATCAAATTCAGTGTGCTCAACTTAAACTGGATGAAATTCTAGACGCATCTGAAATGATAGTAGGTACGCCTAGGGAACATGAAAAGGAATGGAGCGAGGTGATGGTAGTTGTTCGTACAGCACCCGGGGGCGGGGTGTTCGAAGCAACCTTACGGCAGGATGAAGGCCAGTGGATGCTCGCAGGCACAGTCAGTCGTCTTAACCTATATGGTAATCAGAGCCGCTGCGTGCTTCACTACCAACTCAAACTATATTGTTTTTGCCAGTGAAAGAAACAAGGGGCTATTTGTTCGAATAATTAGATTTCTCAGAATTTTACTGAAAACAAAGAATGTAGCGGTGAAAATAATCAATATAAAACTAAACATAAGTATATCTCTAATTCATATCATAAACATATATTATGTATTAATAACAATCGAAAATAATTCGTGCAAATCAGTAGCACCTTAGAACAAAATAATAATGACTGTGATATTACAAAAATCTGCCAAAAAATGTAAATTAGTACTAATTTTAATATATATGATTTTGGTTTACAAAAGATGTTGGAATTGTGTTTACTGAATGATATAAATAAGAGTATCAATATTAAAATAATATATTTTACTAGCGATTTTTAAAAATATTCAATGTATTTTGTTTAAATCATTAATGTATACATCTTCATCGTCTTCGTTGAGTCGTTGAGTGTAGGTACTTAGTAATAAATGTGTGCCAAACAATAGCTATCGGTAAGTGTTTTAGTAAATACATTTGTCATAATATATAGTAATAAGTGAAAAAATATATCAATAAAAATAGCATATCGCATGTGTTAACATATCACAACGAATTGACTAATAAAATATTTGAAAATGTCATGTTTTTTTATTAATCCACAGTAGAATTATGAAATATTAAAAAAAAATATTTCAAAACTACTTCAATTGAGCAGTTATTAAGTAAGTTAAGACAAATCGATTGACGTATAAATCATCAAAATTGGCCAAGCCGTTTAGTCTTTAAAATGCCATATAGAAACAAACAGATACTCATAAACACATTACCATTCTTTATTTTGCGCAGTCGGGTCAATATATTTATTAACGGTGCTTAAATTTATGTACCTATACTATGTTTAAGTCTAAGCCTATACTTATAACATTTTGAAAGAATTTTAAGGAGTTACTCTATCAATATAACAAGTTTTAGTTATTTATTACTAGTAGTTTATTGAATCCCCGATATTCTCTGCTGCTAGGACCAATATCTCAAAATAATGATACATGATGACAATTCCGTACATAACTATACCTTGAAACCGTCGTACCAGTCACTCGGTCACGGAGGTCGTCAATAACAATTACCTAAAGAGCGGGCCCATCCATATAGGCAAACTTTTGGGGGGTGGCATAGCCAAACATTATGCTTGTTATAATCATTTGAACCTTTAAAAAATACTTTTGTTCTTTGAACATGAGTTCATATCCGCATTATTCAAAATTACAAAATTTTCAGACTATTAGTACCTACCTAAGTAGTTTCTTTGGTCATTGGCAAATAATCAGTATTAATTTGATTTTTTATGAACGTCGTTCCTGTGTTTTGCCTAGGGCGCCAAGATTCATCGAGTCAGCGCTGATTAACCTTAATTTTAGAGGGTGGAAGTTTAAAATAGCATATAGTTAATATAAGCATTCACAATGCTATACTGAAAAATATTATGGGTTCGAATCCCATCTCAGAGTGCGAGGGACAAAATGGATTTTTAAGCATTTTTCAATAAGAATATAAGTATTATAAGTTCCGTAAGTTCCATCCTATATGGCGTATGGTAAAAATTAGTTTTCGCAGGGCAGACCGAATTTACTGTTAAAATTTTGCCCATTTAACAAAACTCTTATAAATTTTAATCGTACCTTCAATTATCATCGGAACTAATATACTTATGGCAATTAAGGTCGACGTCGCAATAATCCAAACTTTCCTCAAACATGCATAACACCGAGTTTTGCACGTGCGAGTAAAGTTTGACCAGAAATACTAGTAGAAGTATTTAAGAACGAAATTTAAAAAAC